GTTTGGCCTTCCAAAAATGGACACGACTAGAAATCAGTGGTTAAGTTGTATTTACAACACTGTTCCAGAACACTTCAACTCAAATATTCAGATGTGTGCAGCACATTTTATGAGGACTGTTTCCTGATCCTGGTAGAGTAGACTATAATGCCGTACTGTAAGTACGCTTTTTATATTTTTTATATTTAAAGAGTTTTTATATTTTATATTTAAAGCGAGATTTTTGGGCAGTGTATAGTAGCACTTGTTGTTTGTCATTTCTCCGATCACAAATGCAGACATGGTTTTATGTTTACGTGGCGCGATGCAACACAACGCGTAAAAAGACAGTATAAGTCATTATAATCCATAATTATGTCCCCACTGGATGCAACGAATGCCTCGTTTATAATGGGTTTTCATGTTTTTGAATCATCGCTCCGGCCTGACAGGGCATCATCACAGTATGGTAAGGGGCGTAACATTTCCGTCACACGCTTGAGGTATTCGGCCAATCATAACACACTCGATAGCTGGCAAATCACAGCACACCTTGCTTTTCAGACCGATGAACTTTGTAAAAATCGACGCATTTCAGAAAGGTGGGGCATAGAGGAGAAACAATAATGTACAGTTTGTGGAAAATAATGTGTTTTTTTAACCTTAAAAATAAACACATAAACACATTTCATTACACCAAATACACAAAATAATGTTCTTTTTAGCAACATCATATGACCCCTTTAAAATAAAATACTTAGTCTTTACTGTATACATTAAATAGGCTACAAAAACTATTCTGTAAAGAGCAGTAAGTGATCCCCCCCCTTCTTTTTGTTGTTGTTGTTGTTGTTTGATTAACATGAAGGACACAGACAGAAGCAGGTCTATTAGGTTGCTGTCACTTTAAGACAGAGCCAATATACTGACCCACACAGGACAGCCGGGTGCATGTGCCCAAAAGAAAATGATAACTTGTGCATTTTTAAAATGATGACGTGATTTTCTTATTGTGCTGTTTTTATATGGTTACATAATTGCAATTTAATTCTTAAGTATTTTTTCTTAAATGTACAGGAAACACTGAGGAACAGCATTTTTACTTTTTTATTTTATTGCCACAAGAATGTAACAGAATACAATCATATAATTGATGTTCACTGAGGAAAAAAAACCCCACCAGATACATAAAATATGAGCAATCAGTATTATAGAAAACACATGATAAAAGTCTTCAGAATTTTTAGATATTAGAATTGTTTGGCTTCGTGATTTCATTCTCAAAAACAATACATATACACTGTAGACTTTTGGTTACTAAATTTGCTTCTGTACATTTGTATTGTTCACGTTCATGTAGCAAATGCTGCCAGTACACCATTTTTTATGACATTTTCCTATATAGTAAACCATATAGTGAATAAGCGATAATGTCACAAGAAAAAGAGAGAGGTCATGTCAAATACTCACCACTTTGGATGATTTTGGTACTTGTGTCATTATCTGCAGCCATAAAATCTAGTCTACAAAGCTACATGATATATGACATTATGTAAAGCTTTTTAATTGAATTAAGCTTATATGTTTTTACCTTAATGTGCGCATATATAAATTCACTTGTACATGACAAATTCATCTAAACTGAACTAAGATGGACTGTTTTTGTCTGTTGTTGTCATCAAAAACTTGACTTGTAACCCTGGCTTTTGATACAGGCCACTAGTTGGACTGACACTGTTTTTCTTCTTTGCCAGTCTATAGATTTTTAGAGCACCCTTTAATCTTACATGGATTAAACACCAAATATGGATCATAACAAAACCACTTGAGTACAGAGTGCAAAATGTATAAAGTGCTTGTTTAAGACTAAATGGGAATTTTCTTCTGTATGTAGTGTTTTACATTTTATATATGGAGAAAATGTGTAACTGTGTTCCAATGTTTTCATACGGTTCATTATTTGTGCACAATACACAAATAATTTCAGTAAGAAAGTATGTGCTAAGTTAAAAACAACAAATGCTGACCAGATCAAATTGTGAGTCAGATCAAAATGACATGAAAAAGAACCAAAGTCAAACTGTGAAAACACTGATGTCAGAAGAGTTTGGTTCAAATATTTTCAATGTTATAATAAGAGAAAGGGTTTTTCTGAACCATGGGTAGAAAAGGCCATATATGATGGGGTTTATGGTTGAGTTAATGTAGCCTAACCAGACAAATGTTTCAAACAGAGCAAAAGGAGTGGAAAAGTTGATGTAAGGGTCAATCAAAGAGTTAATAAAAAATGGCAGCCAGCAAATAATAAAAGCTCCAACGACCACACCAAGAGTTTTTGCTGCTTTGCGTTCAGATCTTCGAGAGCTTTTAAACGTGCTCTCATTTTCATGATGGTTTGCCTCACCGATTGTTCTAATGTGCTTTCTGGCAACTACAAAAATGATTGCATACAGTCCTATCATGACAGAACAAGGCAAGAAAAAAGTTAGTAATGTGTCTAAAACGGACCACAATGCATTGAAAAGCAAAGTGCAACTTCCCATACAGTATATTGATTCAATATATTCCTCCAGTCCTTCCACATTAGCTTTTGAGTACACTAAGCCATAAGAATATAATGCAGCCATGCACCAACTTATCATCACCATGACCCATGCAACAGGTATGGTTATTTTTGTAGGATACAGAAGCGGATAACAAACTGCCTGATGTCGATCAATAGCAATAAAAATTAGATGAAAAATAGACACTGATGTGAGAAATAGGTCAAAACTTGAGTGTAGCAAACAGAAGGCATCTCCATAGTACCAGCAGCCACCCACAGAACGGATCATACTGAAAGGCATGACCACCAGTCCAAGCAGCAGGTCCGCTAGAGCCAGAGACATCACCAGGATGTTAGTGGGAGTCTGGAGCTGTTTGAAGTGTGCGATGGAGATGATGACCACCAAATTTCCTAGAATGGTCACAGTCATCGCCAACACCAATAGGAGATACACCACAGTCTGAGTGGAAACATGATGTGTGCCTTTAAGACAAGAGTTGTTCACTGCAGGAAAACAAAACTGAGTGGGATCGTATTCTTGTGATGATAAATCCATCCTCTCAGTCTCAGAAAACTAGAACCTATAAAATGCTGTTTTATTTAGTCCAGTCAGGCCTTTAAATAGTCTTCATTCTCTTTTCTGAGCCTCCCACATCATCACAGGGCAGCAAATGACAATCAAGCACTCATTAAAAAAAATTAATAAAATAAAATATATATATATA